TCACCATGACCTTGAATATCTGATCCTCCTTTCTCCACCTCCCAAATGCTGACATTACACAAGTGCCACAGCACCCCCGTTTATGTGGTGCTGGGATTTGTGCCAGTAAACACACTTATCAACTAAGCTGTAAGCCCAGCCCTCCCTTTCTACAGGTTTTAAGGGAAGACCAGCAGGTGTGCACTTAAGATGCTATAATGTCAATAATGTATTTGTAAGTGGCAAAAGCAGTTGATATTTGTGTTTTCAGCATAGAACACCTTAAAGTTCCATGACGTCTTGATGGTTTGTCTGTGATCTGAAGTTGGGTCATGTCCTTCAAAGCTGAAGGGAGGGGAGTGATAAGGCAAGTCAAGTGGTAAGGCTAGTAGGTGAGCCTAGCCAGTCACCTATCATTGCGCAACAGAGCTTCTCTGTGCACTTCGGCCAACACAATAACTGCTGTGAAATGAGCCAGCGGAAAAAACCAGAATTGTGTGTGTGTGTGTGTGTGTGTGTGTGTCCAATACTGGTAACGAAATGAAATAGTTGAAGAAAATATTGGCCAAGTTTGCAAGATGCCAGCTCTATGCCACAAAAGATACATTCTCAGCAGTACAAACCCAGAGAACGCATAGCCACATGGAGTCCTTGCCCTATAGAAGCCAAGTAGAATGGTTTAAATGGAGCCCCTCAATCCATATACAGGGCAAGGACTACCAGCCCCCACTGGAGTCACCCCCACCCTTATTTTCCTACACTTCCCCCAAAAGAGACTTAGATTCCCCTGCTGTGTCTGTTTCTTTGCTAAAATGGTCTATCAGCTTGTTGCTCAGCTCAATAAATAAAGAAAAATCCAAGAAAACATAAGAATATGTGAGACCCTCAACCTAAGGCTAGACTTTCTGCTTATCTATAGCTGCTTGTCATAGTTGCAGATTCTTACCCCACAAAATTTTTAAAAGTTGCCAAGATCTGGTTGTATAAGTGCTGCTTCACCTTGGTTAGGTTAGACACTGAGATGTGAACACTGAGTTCTGGGGGACTTCCCATCATCCTGACCAGTGGAGGGCCCTGAACAAGGATTGTCTAGATTAGTATGTTTGATACCAACTCTGATATGACTCATCTGGAATTCAAGTGGGGCTAGTCAGCTAACCCCTTTGAGCCTTGGGACCCTGGATTACAAGACATGGCGATCCTCCAGTGTGGGCTGGAGATTCAGAAAGAGAGTCTCCAATACACTTAGGTGAAGTCTGTTCAGGTATCTAGGAAGGCCCCTTTCATTTCTCAGCTGGAACTAGTACCACTTTAAGGAGGCTGTTTTCCTCAGGTACTTTCCTCAGGGGGAGAGCACTGCTGTCAGTGGTGGAAAAGCAACATCATTCTGTGTGGGCAGGGAGGCGTGGCACAGTTCCTGAACAAGCAATCTCAAGAATGGTGCCGCATACTAACTCTATGACCAGTCTGTGGTTTAACCAAGTTAGGAAACTCCTTTAAGCTTCAGGCTGCTTGATCATAAGGCATGGTATTCCTCTCTCTGGTAATACTCAGGACATTTTGAAAGATCAAAGTATTGAGGGTACTTTTCCTCTCACCCTGGGGATTGAACCCAGGACCTTGTGAGTCTAAACAAACACTCTACCACTGAGCTGCACTCAGCCTGAAGGGTAAAGTTCGTGTTTAACATATGCAAGGGGGTGCAGTAAAAGCTGCCAACATGACCACTCCATGATATGGTTAGGGGTTGTATTATAAATACGAGAGAACAGCTGGAGACATCTGGAAAAATCCAGAGCAGAGAGAAAACAAGGTAGATTGGGCAAGGCCAAGGCTGTGTGTGTGAGAGGGAAGGAAGGATTGCCACAGACAGAGAATAGAGAGCAGAATGAGAATTTCAGGAGGGGAGAACAGCATACTGAGGGGAGCGAGGGTTATGTATGGTGTGGGGTGGGTAGCTGGGGAGAGAGAAACCTCTGAGCTGGAAGTGGACTCTCAAATGCATAACAAGTATGTCGTGTTCAGTGGATATCCCTGGGAGACCTGCTTTTTTCTGAAGGGATTTGGAGGAGTGGATCTGGAGGACAGAAGAGGTTGGAATGAGAAGGTAGGGAGGGGAAACTGGTCCGAATGTATTGTATGAGAGAGGAATAAATTAAAACAACAAGAAAGAAAGCTAGAAGAAGTACTGATGCAAAAAGACCGGGAAGCCTGGAGGCTAACATGGGCCTTGACATGCTGGTAGGCATCTCAGCTACATGCTAATTGGAGAGTTGCGTGTCCCTTTTGCTAGAGGTAAATGACTCCCTTTGGTAGACAGGAACTGGCTTCACAACCACCAGAAATCCTATAGTCGAGGTTGAGCTCATTTCTGGATATTTCAACTGCCTTTTGGAGTATAGGGAACTGGAGGGTCCTTCGGACCTGACACTAAATGCTATGACAAGCTACTGTGGCCAGGAGTAATTCATAGTGTTCTTACATGTGGTATGGTAAATACTTGCATTCCATTAGCCTCTGCCTTCTGGGAACACTTCAGGTGTGGGATGCTGACAAGCATATATGTTAGCATGTTAACAATTCTTCTAGGCTCCACCCAACAGTTACCTAGAAATAGCCAAGTACAAGAACCTGGCTTGCTATAAAAAGACTGATTGATCTCTCCCTTGTTCTCTGACCCCTCTCTCTCTTTCTCTGACCTTTTCTGTCCCCTCTTTCTCTGCCTCTACTCCCTTCTCATGTCCCAAATAAACTTCATTTTATACCAGACTCGTCCTATGGCTGCTACCTGGGGGTGTGGGGGTGGGGTTGGGGGAGGGGGTGAAGTGGGGGGATGCCTCACCATGAGGCTGCTAAGGCACCTCTGCTGCTACGTCATACCAAGTTTTACAAAACGTATCACTATCCTTGCCTCCCTTGACTGTTTTGCTTCTTCCCTTCAAGGATATGCTTGGACCACTACTGCTTTAGGATGAGATCCCCTAGTGAGATCCCCAGCCACTGTCCACAGCTGTTATTTGGCCCATGGATAGTCATCTGGCCCCAATTCCTTGGCTTTCAATATTCCTTTCTTGGTTATTTATGTTTAGTGCAAGGCCTACATTTGTAGCCAGAGTTTCTTTGAAGGGAGCAGGCACTTCAATTTATACCTCTTTGCATCCTCAGTTCACGAAGTATATCATTAACTGACTTTTGGACATTGTACCAGGTTAGCATTTTCCCCAACTTCAAGGCCACTAGAACCCTGTAAGTGGACCACCACTTTGGAGAACCTGCACAGATACAGTCCAGTTAACATGGGTAATATTGGATTAGAGTTGGCTACCCTTAAAGCAAAGAGGAATTTGGAAACAGAAAAGAAGGCCAGAGTGCAGGGGAGGCACCATAAGAGTGATATAGCTGGAATCCAAGCACCAACAAGGATTGCTGGCCACCAGGAGGAGGCAGAGGATTCTCCACCTAGAACCTTCAGAGGAGTCACACCCCTGCCTATAAAACACTTGTGGACTGTTAAGGCATCTCATTTGTAGGGATGCTTGCTGAATGTGAGAACCATACTGAAGGGATGCTCCTCCGGGGGTCACAAGCTAGCCTTGAGAAACTTACTTTCAAAAGATCTGGAGAAACTGCATGGCTTTAAGAGAACAAGGACAGTCACTGACGGCCATTGACGGAGAGGAAGATAACCTGGCCATAATCTGAGTAGGGATAATAACGATCCAAGAACATGAAGTTGATGATATTTTCTAAAGGGATGATGGTTAATTTTGATTGTCCACTCCTAAAAAGAAGGAGCCTCAGCTGAGGAAATGGAGTAGTGGATATCCATTTTGATATGTTCGAAATAATAAAACAGACCTATGTTGGAGGGAAAGTGTGGGTGTTTCCTAGTCTGCCTTGCTTGAGATAACTGGAGACTTCCCTGACTTGAGCTGGGGCTCATTATGGCTGCTGGTTCCTATGAATTCCAGACCTGTTGGCCTAGGTTCTTCCGGGATCTATTTATACTGTATTAATCCTTAGAACAGTGCACAGTATGGAGATGATTCGAAACAGTGGTTTTCTTCTCGATCTCACGCGTAGATGATCCCAACTTAGGTGAATTATGGAGCTAGTTTAATGACATTTCCAGAGAGTAGAGGTCCCACTGGAAAGGAGATGTGGGCAAAGCCAGACCCTACTTGCCTCTCAATTGTAAAATGGGCATGAAGACACTTGCACAATGGACACTTGTTAAAGCCAGTGTAGGGAAACTGGGGCTCCCTGCTGAGAGAATTGGCCGAATCCGGATTCTGGGTCCTACCCAGCTCCTTACCAGCCCGCCAAGCATCCTGTAGCCTTCCAGTCCATTTTAAAAGATGGAACAGTAAAGAACAAGTCAATGGCGACTGACTTGCTTAGTGCTACTCTTTTCCTGCAGGCAGATTCCAGAACAGTCTCCCACTCCCACCCTCTCGGAAGACCCTTTGGGGTGAAGCACTTACACACCTACAGTGCCTGCTTTACATAAGCAAACACACAAGGCTCTTTAACAAGGACCCCTGGAGTCGGATGCGGCCCAGTTGGTTTAATGGGCGTGTATCTTTTTTCCAGCAGTCTTTCTGAGAACTCCAGCCCGGCCGGATGCAGCATCACCTCCTGCCACCCTCACCCCCGCCGGAGGAGAAAGAAGAAGCGGATTCCACATGTAGGCACTGATTAAAACTACAACTTCGTACCCTAATTAGTCTGCAATACTCCACCTTCCCACGCCGCTGATAACGCCTCGCCAGGCAGCTCAGGCGGATGCTGGCCCTGGAGAACCCGCTGCATCGGACCAACAGTGAGTCCTGCCGCCCGCGACCCTGGCGTGTAGGGTCAGCCCGGAATAACAGACGTGAGTTGCTTTGTCACCGCCCTCTCAAGTACTTTGGGCAAATCACTTTGCAATCCTTTTCCTCCGAAGCCTGGTTGTGTCTTGCGGGCGGGGCAGCTGCAGAGAAACGGGTAGCCGGGCGGGAGAGCCGCGCGACCTACCGGCGTGCGCGCTACGAAACTTCGGTCTCCAGCGTGGTGCGGGGACTCCCTGCGGAGGCACGGTGGCGCACCCCTCCATTCTCCAGCGTCACCGGGGACACTCGGTGCTGTCCCACGCCCGGCCGAGGGAGAACGACTTCGGGGCAGCTTGTGTAGCGCAGCGGCGGGGACCTCGCGCCCCGGCTTCCCAGTTCCCCGGTAGGTCGGCTTGGCCACGTAGGCAAGGAGGGGTGCTGGGTGGCCCCGTGCGACCCCTCTCCCGCCCGCCACTCTTGCTTTCCCTAGGGGGAAACTTGCAAGCCGCGTCCCAGTAGCTATGGGGCGGGGGCGGCGCGATCCGGAACTAATTGGATCTGGGCTTCTTGGTGGCAGAGCCCACGGGTCCCGGGGAGGTGGAGAGGACGGCAGGGCGACCGCAGTGAGCGCCCAGCAGATGCCGCCGCTTCGCAGCCCCACACTGTAGCCGCAGCTGTGAGTGGGACCCCGCGAAGTTCCCGGAACCCGCGTGAGAGCCCTCCCTGGCTTCGGCTCCACGCGGGATTTCTCCAGAGAGTGGCGAGGACAGAAGTCCTGGGAGAGTCAAGCTTCAGGTCGTGTGTCCCAGCCCGTGGCCTCTGCAGGGACAAGCTTCTGGCGTTTTAAGGTCGAGTTTTCCTGCCGCAGAGCACGCCAGAAGCTGTCCCCCGCTGTGAAGTGACGGCGTCTCCCCTGGAGGCTGGGAAACTGGGGACTCCCAGCCCAAGGGAAGGGACCGCAGGAACCCCTTACGGACGTGGGCGTGCCTCCAAGGTGAGCGTGGGGTGAGAATGAAAGCGCCAAGCTTCCAGGTAGAGTGGTGTTCCAGTGCTGGGCAGGTGGAGGGGTGATACCAGTTTGGGGGCCCATACCCCACACCTTTGTTTAACCTTTAAAACTTAAGAGCAATAAAGAAGAATAAAAGAGCTGGAATAATATTGAGTCTCTTGTATGACTGAGAGGCAGAGAAATCGCCTTTTAGAAATCTTATACCCATAAAACATGCCCTTGTTATTTATAAGCCTAAATCTAGAAACTAATAGTCTGTTTTGGCAGCTTTCGTTAATAGTGCCTGGAAGAAGTAAGGTCTTTAAAAGTGAGTTATTGAGGAGAACTGTCTGTATTACACTTAGTAACTATCCAGCTCTATGAGAAACGCTGAGCTTGAGTGTTACTGAATTCTCTTTTACTGGTATTAGAGAGATGGGCAGAGGTGTGTGGCACTGGGAAGACCGGAAGGAGAATTCCCTTGGGAAGGTGTGTATACTCTTTCCTTTGAGAGGCCAGTTTCAGAGTCATTTGCTAAACACTGCATATGCTGGTAAGGCCGGCTGAAAATAGTTGCGGAATAAACTCGCAGAAGGGGCTGGAGAGGCTGTATGACATTGCCTTTTCTGCTCTGACCTGAGGGGACACAGGTGATGGGAGTGACCCTGTTCCCTGGGGCTTATCATTAGCACTACATAGTGTGAGTTCAGCTGGATAAGCTTCAGAGATTTTCCTTAGATTTGTGCAGCAGGAACACCACCTGGAGACAATAAAATTGAGCAACCCGGGGTCCAAAAGTCAGCTGGGCAAACCAATGTGTTGTGTGGTTACAGTGAGCTGCGCCCTTGTTGCGGGGCACAGATGGGCCAAAGCTCACCTTTTGGGGGTGCAAGCCCTTTACTAGAAAACGGAAGGTGGGCTAAGGATTAGTAGGGACAGTTTAAACTGAGGGATTTGGGGAGTAATGAGACTGGCCTGTGCTAAAAGTAGAGAACAGAAGCAGTCAGGGCCAGGTCCCACCCACCGAGCCTGAGAGGACAATGGAGAAGGTGTTACTGAAGAATGATGGGAGGTGGGGCCAGTGAGACGGCGTGGGTGGGCCTTTGGAACCGCTTCACACCGCTGAGTGTCCTAATATGGTTGTAATTAAAAGCAAAAGTAGCCAGGTGCAGGAGGCTCCCAGGCCTAGCTACTTGGGAGGCTGGTGTAGGAGACTCTTGAGCCCAAACAATAAGCACTCACCCTGGCTGCTGCCCGGAGAATGGCGTAGAGTACACAAGGCTGGGTCCGAGCGGAGATGATTTGGTGCATAGACTGGAGGCATGCCGTGGAAATCATTTTGCAGAGGACATGAGTGCAGAAAGGTTCCGGAAGTGTGGGTGCTGTTATTCCCAGAAACAGGGAGCACTGGAGTTGGAGCAGTGGAGAGGAGCAGATTCCAGGAAGGACACCTTGGGTTTAGTCTGACCAGCTCTTGAGGCGCTCAGGGAGAAGTGTGTCCCCTGTGGCCACAGCAGTGCTTTTCCAAAGCTGGCTGCCATCTGCAATAGGGGCGAAGTGTGAAGGAGGGATGGGGCTTAGGAGATGGAAAAGTAGAGCAGAGGGCAGAGCTTCCAGAGGTGGTGGCCAGGCCTGGTGCCTGCTTCCAGGGGGAGAGGAAACTGGAAGAATGTCCTTTTATGGCTATTTAAATGTGAATGACAGGGAGCCAGTGGCAGGAGAAGACATCCAGAAGAGCAGGAATTCCTCCCTTGGGATAGCAAGTTAAAACAAAAAAGTTTGTTGCTGCTGGGGTTGTAATTTGATGTCAATGCCTTACAGATACAATGTTTTGAGTATGGCTGCAGTTTGAGTTTTACTTTGTAGATGACACAAGTTTAGTGATATCAGGAGTAGAGGGTGGTATCAGTTGCACTTTGGTTAGGGATAAGGTCAAGGTCCCTGGAGAGAGGCTCTGACAGCTTGTTTCTTGGCTCTGCTACTTCCAATGCTTGAGTCCTAGCTCAGGTTGCCTGGCCTTTGTAACTTGACCTGGTCTCTGAAGTGACCCTACAGCTAAAGGCTCTTCTTCCTCGTGGACTGTTTGCAAGGATTTCATGTTTCTATGTGTATAGACATGTGTATGTGTGTGTGTGGTGTTGCCTGACATATAGCAAACACTCACTAAGCCCTATGCTATTGATTTGAATATAATAATAATATAATTTCTGTGGTGTCATATCTATCATTTCCAAATACATAATCTGAGTCCTAGAAATGTTGAAATGCCAAAGGCCATAGAACCAACAAGAAGCAAGTTAAAGCCGTGTTACTTTGGATAACTTCTGAGTAAGGGCTGCTCTCCCTAGCATGTCTGTCAGATGCTGAATGTGCCTGGAGACCAACTAAAATAAGAGAATCTAAGCCATACGTGGTACACTCATCTGGAATTCCAAGACTCAGGAGGCTGAGGCAGGAGGATTCATAACCAGCTTTGGCTACATAGATTCAGAATAGTCTAGAGTAACTGAGGAGGAGGAGGAGAAGGAAGAAGAGGAGGAGAGAGAAAGAAGGAAGGAATGAAAGCAATACAGGATCTACTGCTTGCCAGAGTGTGTGGAGACAGAACAGGTAGCATCGGTTTTAGTGGGGCTGCAAACTTGGCCCAAGCCTAGTTTTGTTTTTGTTTTTGTTTTTGTTTTAAAAAACGCGGTAATTTGCGTTGCTTTGCATGTCATTTGATATGCATTCCCGCATACTGGTAATTTTCCTACCAGAGTCTAAAGTCTGAAACTTCAAGGATAAGAGAAAAAACAAGATTAATCAGGAATTAAATGCAGCTGTCCTGTCCTAATAGCCAGGAGAGTGGACAGGGTTAGATCTGTATTTACTCTTTCAGAAGGTAGAGGAGCCAGATATCATTTGATAAAAGCAGGCCACTTTGTTCTGCTGAGCACGTAGTGAGAAAATATAGGAAAACAGAAGCGCAGAGGGAGGCTGGGTTATATAAAATGCCAGAGAGCAGCATTGAGAGGCTGAGCAGGGGCTGAGCAGAGCCTACGGTGGTCAGAAGGGAAAGACTGGACCTCTACTAAGCAGTCTGAATTTTTAGAAAACGTATAATCTTAGATGTGAGGATTTTGTTGGGTCTGGTGGCGCATGCCTTTAATCCCTGCATTTGGGAGCAGAGGCAGGTGGATCTCTGAGTTCGAGGCCAGCCTGGTCTACAAAGTGAGTTCCAGGCCAGTCAGGGCTATACAGAGAAACTGTCTCAAAAACAAACAAACAAACATGTATAAGTTTTTAAAACTAATTCCCCCAAATTTGAATTTACTGGAAAACAGGCCGTTATGCCTTAGGAAAAATATTAGGGACACACGGTATCAAACACCAGGCAGCCTGCATGGTGCACACATGCAATCCTAACATATAAAAGCTGGAAGATGACCAGTTCAAGGTACTCCGTAGCCATGTAGTCAGTTCAAGGCTAGCCTGGAGTATATGAAACTATGTAAATAAGTTAATCCATTAAATAGATAGTTAATTAGAATGATAAAGAAAATAAGCCCAAGAAACAACTGATAGTTTTGTTGGTTGGAGCAGTGTTCCTGTATGTCCCTAGACATGACAGCTGCTTCAGTGTCACCTGGGAACTTAGAAGTGCTGCTTCTGAGACTGCCCCCACTGGGAGGGGGGGGGCGCTGTGTGAGAACCTCTGGAGATGCTGGGCCAGCCACCAGCCCTCACATTCTCTAGATCCTCAGAGCAGCTTTTGTTTCTCTTGATTGTTTTGCTCATTGGTCCCTCACCTCACAGTTTCCCCCATGAGGGTCACCGTCTTCATAGCAGGTTGCTTCAGATCCCTCCCTTACCATCCTTGGGGAGGGGGGTACTAAGAGACACAGAGCCACTCCTTCAGTTGTCAGCTGCCGCTTCCTGGTGGCTAGTTCTAACCTCAGGATAAATGCTGGCTCAGTTCACTTAGGGCCTCAGCCTTCTGCAGTCCTGTGGTTCTCAGCCATCCAGGGCAGTGGTGGCTTTGTACCACTGCCTTTTTCTTTTTCTCCTTTGGCAACCTCCTTCTGAACAGTGACTCTTGCCAAGTGCAGTCAGCCAAAACGAAGAACCATTCTCCACGGACGCCCTGCAGTGAGCATTGGTCAGTGGTGGGCGTGCAGTTGATGTTTGGGGCCAATGCATTCACTCTGCATTTAGATGTCACCATTCCAGATCCAAGTGTGACAAAACTATCTGGGCAGTTGGGTCATTAAGGTCCAGGCCAATGAATTAATGACATGTGAGTTTCTTTGTTAGTGGCCCTTCTCGAAGCTAATGAGGCACAAAACTGGAGCCTCTTTTGTAGTCCTGTGGAGCCAGCATGAGAATGACCCTGGTCAGTGGTTCCTGGTAGTGGTCGCCTTTGAGTCTCTGCTATT